GTCTATGGCGTTATTTGTACTCATCTAGGTGTAGTTGGATAATAATTCTCCATACTTTCCTCCATACAATGCTTATAACTTTATTCTGAGAACCTAGTATTGGATCAAATGGCAATCCCTTACCTGATACTTTTCTTCATTCCCATTCCTTATCTGCTTGATATTGAAGGGAGAAAGTTTGTCATGGACACTGCTGGGAGTTGATTAAGCCATGATATGGGAAAAGGTCATCATGGTGTGCTTAAATTTCCCTTTGAAAATATCCTCATCTTATCCTAAACTAAAAATTAACACTCCATTTGCTAATTCCAGGATTTGCTGGTGGATTTATCTGAGATGGTGCATGTTTTGTGCCACTTGAAATGATAATTTACAGACTACAGGTGTACATGCCAGCAAATAACACTTTTTCTAAAATTTTGCATGTCTTTCCTAATTGTTTCTCAAGGTCACCTAAGGTTGACTGGAGACACATGTCATTAGTTGCCATAACAACAAGCTTGTTTATGGTTCCTTGGCAGGTATGGCTGATCCTTAGGGGTTTTGATCAAAATATCAGTTAGTAGTAAATTCCCTATAGTTTTAGAACTGACAATTTGATGTGAAATCACTTGATATCCCTTTAATGATATTTTTCTCCTCCTCACCGATGTACAGTTCTTGAAAATATAGCAATTTTGTTTGGATGAATTCTTTTTTGGTCACCAGTTTGAGAAAAAGGGTTAATGTTTGGTACCTAAAAAAAAGTATATGTTTATGAAATAAATAATACTCTAATTTGATTTCAGTATGAAGTTATTAGTTAATACTTGTTGGTAGATGACCAATTTAGAGATCTTTCATCCTCAAACTTTGAAGAAAATGGTGAAATTGTTTAGTCGAAAGCAGGTGACGCATCTCTCTGAAAGTTTCTTTGTTTGAAAACCAACTGGAGATGATCATTTGGGATAACTCCTGAAAAGTTTTCCTCACTCTCACTTGCATTCTTGGGGTCGTTCCATTTGTCAGCGAATAACCAGTACTTCAACATCCAATTTTGCATTTCATGGAAGTGATAAATTATTGATAAAGATATTGTCTCCTTTTATTTTCAGTTTGCTCAGTTTGCACTACTAACACAGGTAATTGCAATAGTACATAGAGTAATGAAATATTTCTTTCACTTAAGGGAAAAAGTGGCTGAGTCTATGTTCTCCTTAATTTATTGACAGCCCTGAAAGTTGAACCACACCCATAAAATGTGCTCTAAGGCTTGCAAGAAAATCTATAGCCAGAGCAAACCAAAAGACTTGATTATGAAAGACACTTGTT